ACGAATGCTATAATTAGTCGTTTAGGGAAAAATAAAATAAATCTGCTCCAAGACAGTCTCCCTGAATTTTGTGAAAGTTGCAAGGATGGTTTTAAGAGTGCAGATCCTGCCATGCTGACTTGCTTTCCCAAGAATGCCTTTGACCTTAGCCAGCTATTGTACTAGGAAAGAGGGGCCCAGCAATTTCTTTGAGGAGAGCCAATTCCAAGTCCCCAGAGGACAATGAAGTCCCCTCAACAATACCCACTAACATATGTGAACGTCCCACAACACTGCAAAGGTTGAATGGCTCCCCCCTGAGACCTGTCCCTTCTAAACTACCCGTGACCGCTCAGAGCCCCTGCAGGCCAAACCACCTCTCTGATACTTTGCCCGCTGCTGCATACCCTACTCTTTCTTTTCTAGTTAACATTCCTCTGCACAGCATTACTTGCCTCTTCACAGAAAACCTATCCAACCCTCTAGCACAAGTGCTTATCATTATTTTATCAAGTTCTAGAAGGAGGGAGAGAGCAAACCCAAACTATTGCTAGAAGACAGCTGCATTTCTGTCTTCTGGTCAACATGAATCATCTTTCCAAGACTGGGGAGGTACTGGAATGTAGAATGGACCCTGGAAATACCCAGACTCCACGAATAACCTGCTAGGACCTCAGGCAAGTCTCTGGACCTCTGGATGATAAACTGTGAAATTAATAGGCAGAAATAAAGTCAACCTGGCAAAGACGAGCTAGAAGAGACTACCACTCAGAAAGAGCACCAGGTACACAAGATCATGTGGCTGGAGAAAGCACAGCAACTAAGGCCAGCACATGGGAGAAAGGGCAGGGGTGGGGAGACCAGTGTAAAATGTGAGGGAGGGGGTGGCCACACAGGGCCTAAAGGATTATAACCAATTCTGCACAGCTGCCAGGGAGGCACCAGCTCCATCAGTGATCCATAAATTGTTAGGAGTTACCTTCTGATTATGAGGCAAAACTCAGTTCTCGTGCATGAGCCTATGAGGGGCAAAATGCCAAGCTGTTCATAATAAAACAACTGAAGTATTAAAATTACAATCTCAAGCCTGGGTATCATAGAATAATGTTTGCTAACAACCTAATGCCTGATGTTATCTTAGCTAATGTCAAAAATTTATTTTCTGTCTGGGCATAGTGGCTCACGCCTGTAATCCCAGCACTTTGGGAAGCCGAGGCAGGCAGATCACCTGAGGTCAGGAATTTGAGACCAGCCTGACCAACATGGTGAAACCCTATCTCTACTAAAAATACAAAAATTAGCTGGTGTGGTGGCATGCGCCTGTAATCCCAGCTCCTCAGGAGGCTGAGGCAGGAGAATCATTTGAACCCATGAGGCAGAGGTTGCAGTGAGCCAAGATGGCACCACCGCCCTCCAGCCTGGGCAACAGAGTGAGACTCTGTCTCGGGGTGGGGTGGAGGGGGGGATGTATTTTCCATGTGAACAAAATACAAAATCCACTCATCTGTGAAACGATTAAATTATTCCATCATCAAATGCTTGCTGATGAATCTGCAGTGTAAACTATTTGTGTTTCTGAGGTAATACAGAAATCTTTTAGCCGGTTGACACTGCATATTGAGCTTATCCACTGCTCTAATGCTAGACTTTGGCACAGTAGAAGCATTGGCTATACTATGCTCTCTTTAAAGTCCTTTCAAGTCCATTGGCTATCCAGCTAATAGCTAATAGCTATTCCTTATTTGCTACATATGAGGCACAAGGCTCTGCATAATACAAAACTAAAATGCATGCAGACTCAAGAAGTTAACAGCCTAATGAGAAGGGAGAAGGATAGAAACAGGACTAACAGAGGACCTATGATGTGTCTGATATTGACTTATACCATCTCCTTCAGTCCTCCCAACAGCCCAATCAGGAAGGCATCATTATACCTATTTGATGGAGAGACTGAGGCTCAGAGATATTAAAAAACTTTTCCACCTTCTATAGCTAATAACTTTGAAAGTTTGTATTCAAGTACAGGTATGACTCCCAACTGTACTCTTAACAACTATACTATGCTTCAAAACTACAGAATTTTTTTTTAATGCTGGTGCCAAGAAAAAGAACAAGCAGTTAAGTACCATAGAGAGAAAGAGATCATCTGTAACAAGAATTTAGTCAGAGGAGAAACTGAGAAACTGCCCCCATTGAGAGGATAATGTTCCTCTAAGGAAGGAGTCTTTAAACTGGTCACTAAAGAATTGACCATGGAGAGCCGGATGCAGTGGCTCACGCCTGTAATCCCAGCACTTTGGGAGGCCAAGGTGGGCAGATCACAAGGTCAAGAGATCGGGACTATCCTGGTCAAAATGGTGAAACCCCGTCTCTACTAAAAATATACAAATTAGCTAGGCGTGGTGGCACGCACTTGTTGTCCCAGCTACTTGGGAGGCTGAGGCAAGAGAAGTGCTTGAACCAGGGAGATGGAGGTTGCAGTGAGCCGAGATTGTGCCACTGCACTCCAGCCTGGTAACAAAGCAAGACTTCGTCTCAAAAAAAAAAAATTAACCAAGAAGAGATGGAGAGAATAAGCCCTATGGGAAGAAGGGACAACTTAAACAAAAGCACAGAGGCAGGACACTGAGCTGCACACGTGGGAAACAGTAGGGCTAAAAGAGGGAGACAAGCCACAGGCAGAGTGGAAGAGGCGGGCAGAGCTCTGCAGAGGCCTGGGGAACACAATGAGGGCATGAGGCTGCAGGAGGCAGTGGAACAGAGCCTCAGTCTCCACGGAGGAAGTGAAGTAAAGATCCAAGTGAGGTGGCTCCAACTGGGGCCTAGTTGAGAGGTAGCCAGGGTCTGGACTAGCAGTGGCTGGCGTGACGAGAAGTGTATGCAGAACAACCATGGGGTTTGGGGACCAACTAGGTGAAACAAATCATCATCTGTGCCTGGATGACTGGGACAGGAACAGCATCTTTAACAGAAACAGGGAGCATGGGAGGTGAAGCAGGCTGGAGGGAAGAAGACAGAAACATGGCAGGATTGAGGCACCAGCAATGCATACAGATTAGAGGTGCCAGCAGATATCAAGAAACCAAAGAACTGGAGAGGGCTGGGGCTGCCAGAGGGAAGTCTAGGAATCATATTCATGTGGGTAGTGGCAGAAGCCAGGGACTGGAGAGATTAGTGACAAACGGAAGCAGATTTTCTGGCTGGAGAGAAGAATGTAAGGGAGGGAACCTTGAGAAGACCCACAGGACAAAGAAGGTGAGCAAGGAAAGGATGATCAGAAGGGGATGAATGAAGCACAGAGAGCACACTGTCAAGAGAGGAGGAGAGAATTTCAAGACAGAGAAGGAGTCTTAGAAAAATCACATAGTGGCTAAGCACCACTTGCCTTTTTAAAAGACAAGCCAAATACAAATGGGAATGCTTTGGGAGGGGAAAGACAAGAGATGTGCCTCCCGGGCTCTGAAGTCTTGGGTCTTTTGGGTGTGAGAACCTGTCTTACCCAAGGGTGAAAAAAAAAGAGTCCACACCTACTCCTCAATGAAAACCTACTGGAATTGCTTTAGCTAGTGAAAATTATCCTGGGATGGTTTCGATCTTTCAAATCATTTTTCAAAACTGCTGACCTTGACTCCCATCCCTTTATGCCTTTCTAAAGTGTTGTTTGTGGCTCAAAGAAGAGGGTAATAAACACATTTGATAAAAAATCAAGTTAGAGTTGGGAACGGTATCACCATGGAACCAATAAACAGCACAGAAGAGACTTCCAGTAAATTTCAGATCATTACCTCTCGTTTAAAACCAATTTAGTGCAAAGATAACTAATTGCTCTTGAGATCTCTAACACACCCATGTTTGTCCTCTGACAGTCATTACTTAGTAAGACCAAGAAACCAAGTAGGCGGAAAAGGCGCTGCCTGGCCCATAAATCGGATGCCCACTGGTTAATTCCCACAAGCCATGGCTAGGTTACATACAGTGAGGGAGCAGGCCCCTGTCTTAAGGAGCTTCCGATCTTGTAGCCTGCTACAGGAAAACCTAACGTATAAAAACCATGCAAAGAATCATATGCAGAACCAGGATACAGATGTTCAAACCTAATGCCATCCTTTGCCTCCCTAAGGACTCACTGTAGGCAAGATTCTTCCATACTGTGCTCACCTCGGCAGCTTCCACCCCGTCTACACAACTAAGATGTACACACAGCCCTTCTCTAACACATAGGTTAGAGGAAGTGAGGAGCATCTGCGCTCAGCTGATGAGCCAAGGCTTGAGAACCACCTATGGTGAGAATCTGACCACAGAAAACAAGGAAGAAACGGAAGGGAGTGAAGGAGGGAAATGGGATTGGGAAAACCACAGGGCCACACACGATATTTACTTCAAACAAGCTTTTGTTTGGCTCAAGCTTCCATGGTCTTAAATTTAAAAGACCCCATGGAGAAATGGCCACCCAGTCCTATAACCTCCTATTACCATGAGCAATGCTGATCAAACAGCTCAGAGAGTATCTGATTCACTGTCTAGGTAAAACCAAAACTAGTGTCTAGAGTAACTTACAGTTTAAATACCAGGTGGCTGAGAGAGCTAGCCTTTTGCCGTACAAATGAAAGAATTCCACGTCTCACTGTGAGCAGAAATCAACTTTTCCAACTGAAGTTCAAAATTCCTTTCTCCCTGGTCACTCCCCTCCACCAACTAAAGCTTGCCACCTCCAGACACAGCCATTCAATTGGATTGAACAACTGTGTGTGGAGCCCCTCCCGGGGGTAGGCACTCTTCTAGGTCAGAACTCACCCAGCCCAGCCCCTGCCCTCATAAGCTTACACAGCCTCACCTCTGCTCTAAATCAGAGGATGCCTGAGCTCATACACAACCCAGTTCTCATCGCTGAGTGTCTGTCCTGATGTTCTCTCCACCAACAAGGTTGCACTTCGCCACCTCCAGGTATCCAGATGGGCCAATCCTCCAAATGCCATCTCCTCCATGGGGTCCCCCCAGGCCCATGCCAGTCCATCAGCACCACTGCTCACCACCTACACAACACAGGTGCTGCTTCTCTCCCTTGAGCCTCTTCGTGGTACTCTATTTGTGCCACCTAATGGCAGTTAAGACATCACCATCCTTTGCTGTATTAGCTGTGTGACCTAAGCTGAGGCAGCTTCCCCAAGGCTCAGGTTCTGTATCTTAAAAACAAGGAGATAACAATATCTAATAATAGCAACTTAAAAATAGCCATCTTTTATTGAGATCTTACCGTGTACCAGAGAAATGCTGTGAATTTACAAACATTGTCTCATTTGACTTTCAAAATCCTATGAGATAGGCACTGTTATCCCCATTTCACAGATGAGACAAGAGAAGGTGAGAGAGGCAAAGTGATCTGCCCATGGTGCACAGACAGCAAGCAACAGAGCTGAGATTCTCACTCTGGAAGCCCCACATGTGGCCCTTCATGAATCACTACCCATTACCCCTTTTTTTGCAGACCCCTTCTTTGGTTCCTACCCATCTCATAAGGTTGTTCTGAGATGAGACATGAAAAGTCCTTAGCACACCGACTGGTTCTGGGTCTCACTGTCCCCCATGGTATCCTCCTTTAAGGATGAGTTATTCACATACATATATGCTTTAAGCATACTAATCAATACATAATGAATTAATAAATGAAGAAAGAGAAAACAAGACTAAGGACATCAGTCAAACTACCAAAATAAGATACCAAAGTGTCTTACAAGTGGTTACTCAATATCCTATATATAGATCCTCACAGGACAGTACAAGATGTAAATCTCTTTTTCCCCCAAATGTCTGTGAGATGCAGCCTTCATTCTAGGGTATAAAGGGGAAGAAGTAGGGGCGGTCACAGCAGAAGAGTGAGTAGGAATGACACAGCACATCCCAGCAGCAGCAGGCCCAGTTCTGCAGCCCTCACTAAGACACAATCCCCACTGAAGGGAAATCCCATCCAAATCCTCTTTCCCAGAGAGGAGAAGAAGGTCAAACAGACTAATCCTCAAAAAGACCTGAAATTCTGGCTCCCCTGGACCACGCCAAAAGACATTCCGCTGGGAGCAAGAGACAGGCACCAAAGGTAGGACGCCCCACCCTCCCGCCTATGCACTGGTGACTCCTCCTCACCGGATACATGCACCTCAGCACCCCTCTGTGCTCAGACACAACTGCAGCCATGTGACCTTGGAAAGGTCTCAGGCTCATGAGATAATACCAGAGCCACCCTTACACAGGTAACTGTGGCTCAACAGGTAATACACAAAGCAAGGGTCTGGCATACAGCTCAACATGAGTCAGCTATAAATGTGAGCAGACAATAGTGATACAGAGACCCAAACGCCACCGTGCACTGCCCTCCCATGAAACCAATGCATGGTTTTCACACATGAATACCTTAAGTAGCATTTTGTTGCAGTGCACAAAATACATCTCTTTGACTATAACAAAAAATAAAAAGAAAAATGTAGTTGGTCTCAGGGAGGAAAAAAGGTATTTGAGTGAGGTGGGAGTGAGGCAACAAAAAAGGAGAAAATGTAAGCAGGGAAATGGAAAAAAAGAAAGGGATGCAGCCTGACCAGCTGCTGACAAGCCAGGAGCTGAGCTAGTGGCGAGTCCAGACTTGGGGAGGAAGTAGAGGAAGGTCTCTGTGGGGACTCAGAGCTTAGTCTATCAGGAAAAGAGACATGAGGGGTCAGTTCTGTCCCTGAAGCCATCATGGTAAGGACCTGCCAGCCAGAAGACAGGGCCGCCAGTATCTGGACACCAGCCAAAGCTGACACTCAGCTGCTTTAGCTGATTTTAGTATTCAGAAACTGATATGTGTCTGTACATAAACAGTACACACAGAAGGCTCTTCCTTTTCTAAAAATACAAGAGTCTGCAGTTCAGCACTGAGGCCATCTAGAGCACATAACAAAGACAGTAATTGCGGATGTCTGGCCACCAGAAAGGAAAAGCATTTCCTTTATCGGCAAAGGGCATGAAGTTACCCTTTACCCCAGAGGCCTGATTCCATCTAGGGTAGCCGCAAGGCACAGAAGACCTCCATGATTTGAGAGACCTGACCTGACTCCCACCTTGGCCATTTGCTATTCATAACTTCTCTGAGTCTCAGCCTCCTCATCTGTAAAGTAAGGGTGATAACAAATACCCACTTGGAAGCATTCTTGTCAGGATGAGAAATAATGGATGCAAACCACCTAGGCACAGTTCCTGGCACAGAATAGATGATCAACACACAGTAGCTTGGTTATTCCTAAAATCCCAGAGTCTTTGCGGCTCCCTCTCCTCTCACCCCTGAAATAACCCAACCGAGGAAGAAAAAGACTGATTTTCCCTGCTTTACCAACAGCCTTGCTCAAGAGCTGCAGCTCCTGGGGACATTCCTGCTGCTTGTTCTGGGCAGCAACACTGGGGCCAAGAAATCAGGAGGCTGCTTATTAGCAAAAGGAGAAGAGGAAAAGGAAGTGCGTCCCTCCAGTCCTCATGGAGGGCTCCTCCATGTGTGCTGGCCTTAGCTAAGGTCAGCAGGCATCAAAGAGCAGATGAGGAATGGCCCGAAAGCAGCACTACAATTGTACAATCGACTAAAAGCATTCTTTTTCTTTTTTTGAGATGGAGTCGCACTCTATTGCCCAGGCTGCAGTGCAGTGGCATGAGCTCTGCTCATTGCAACCTCCACCTCCCAGGTTCAAGCAATTCTCCTGCATCAGCCTTCCAAGTCGCTGGGACTACAGGAGTGTGCAACCATGACCAGCTAATTTTTGTATTTTTAGTAGAGATGGGGTTTCACTGTGTTAGCCAGGATGGTCTTGATCTCCTGACCTCATGATCCACCTGCCTTGGCCTCCCAAAGTGCTGGGATTTTTTTGTTTTTTGAGACGAAGTCTCATTCTGTTGCCCCAGCTATGGTGCAGTGATATGATCTCACCTCACTGCAATCTCTACCTCCCAGATTCAAGCGATTTTCTTGCCTCAGCCTCCCAAGTACCTGGGATTATAGGCAATCACCACCACGTGTGGCTAATTTTTATATTTTTGGTAGAGATAGGGTTTCACCATGTTGGCCAGGCTGTTCTCAAACTCCTGACCTCAGGTGATCCATCCACTTCGGCCTCCCAAACTACTGGAATTACAGGCATGAGCCACCATACCCAGCCTAAAAATATTCTTATTCTGGAGTTCTCAAAGAGTTCTAGAAGGTCCTGAACCTTCTGAAATTGAAGATGAATTCTGGGTAAACATGAATTTTCTTGGGAGACAGTTTTGAACTTTCATCATATTTCAATGTCTTTGACACCCCGCTCAAAAAAAAAAAAAAAAAAAAGCTTTCAAACAGCCAACTCATACAGGAAAAACAAGAATGTCTGGGAAAGAACAATATAAAGCAATTTCTCAGGCTGAGCATGGTGGCTCACACCTGTGATCTCAGCACTTTGGGAGGCCAAGGCAGGCAGCTCACCTGAGGTCAGGAGTTCGAGACCAGCCTGGCCAACATGGCAAAACCGTGTCTCTATTAAACATAAAAAATTAGCCGGGCATAAGAATCATTTGAACCTCGGAGGCGGAAGTTGCAGTGAGCTGAGATCATGCCACTCCACTCTAGCAACTACCAAAGGTGACACCGTGATGTGGTGATGAAGAGCCTGAGCTTTGGCCTCAGACATTCTTGGGGCTGAATCCTGGCTCTGCCATTGTTAGTTACAGGGTCTTGGGAAGTGGTGCACTCCTGAGCCTTGGTTTCCTCATCTGGAGATGATAACTGTCTCCTTCCACTGTTGTGGGTACTAAGTGAGATAATATATAGTAAGATACTTGACAAGTGTCATTACTTGCAAGCTAAAAATGAGACTTTCTTTCTTTTTTTGGGAGACAGTGCCTTAGCAATCAAAGGTGTCATCTTTATGTGGATGAACCCCACATTAATTGCTTGAATGAGCGCCTATGTCCCTGCATCCCTGAACTCCACTCAGTGTCGGAAAGGCAGAGGCCTCAATTTGGCTCCCAGGAGTGATCACACTCTTTCCCACAGCTGCATGCTTGAGAAGCCAACAGCAGCGGCAGCCAGAGAGACTTGGGAGCATGCCTGGGTCCCAGCGCCAACCATCCAACATCTTCTGAGGTGCCAAGAGGTCTTGGAAACCTCTAGGGTGATTACAGAGGATAGGGAATATTCATGGCAAGCTTTTCCAGACATAGAAAGCAACCCAGGAAATAAGTAAAAGAAGTTGCCAAAGGTGGGGTAGGCCCACTTCTGAGCCAGATATGCCAACAGAGGAAAAAGCCAGGGTATGGGGGAACAAAATTTGGGGGGACCTTTGACTCACGTCCCCTACATCCATACAAGAAAAGCATCTAACTGATGTGATTCTTCAAGGAAGATAATTTTCATGAGTTTGCCCCACCAGAATATACCATTACTAGTATAATCTCTGAAGTCTCCACACATAAGACAATTATTAACAGTAACAGCTGCCATTCATTTATTAAACAATTACATGCTAAGCCTATTGTATATATTACCTCCTATAATCCTCCAAATGAAATATTGAAGGAATTTCCATTTTCATTTCACAAATGGAAATTGGCCTTAGCAATGTTAAGTAGCCTGCCCAAGGACACAGGGCTGGGAGGCGACAAGACAGATTTCTAAATCCCATGCTCTAGTACTACCCATTTTTAAATCAATTATTTGGTTTTACCCATGGGACCTCTAGGCATGTTTTTCTCTTAGTCCTTCCCAAAACACAGGAATGAACTTATTCCATTCTATCCTACTCCACAAGATTTCTTGTGCTGGGTGCTGAACCCAAGAATAAACTGCCCTAACCAGAAATTCAGCTCTGCTTAGAAGAATACAAGGCAGGGGCATAAATGACACAAAGTATGGACGAGGTGGATATTAATAGGTAAAAGGAATGGGAGAAGCGGCCACAAACCTTCTGTCCCACAGACTACATACCCGGACCACTCCACACTCCTCTCTTTTCAAGAACAATTTCAAGAAACATGCTTCTTCAGAACACAACAAAATTCTTGAAATGTTAGTAGAGTATCTATAGAATAAGGAAAGGTGACCCCAGAAGAACGCAAGGCCGCTTGAAAAAAGCAAACATGTAACACCCTGCAAGTGTTCTCCATTAGATTCCCCAAAGCAAATCATGACTTTGGAACCAACCCATTAACACAAATCAAAATAATCTGAACCAAATGTTCTCATTTACAAGCCCTTTCCCCCTTGAAGGTTTGTACAAGGGAAAATGTACTCTCATATACCAGGCCACCTTGCTTCAGTAATTACCACCAGACCTGGAGGTTTGCATGGCTCTTACCAAACAAGCAAAAGTCTATGAACCCCTAAACCAAGAACAGCGCTCACAAGAGAGGTGGGGAGAGGTAGACACAATGAACACGGGAAATTCTGCAACAGAATCTCCCTCTGAAAATGAAAATCTCTCTAAGGATTTTTGTTCCTAGAAGTCATCCTTCCACACAACTCACGCACTACTCGACTTTCCTTGCCTCCACCCTCTTCCGCAGGCCATCTCCTTCACTCCAGCCAGAGGGATGTGTTGCTTAGCAACTGCCCTCCAACAAAAACAGTAGCCAAGATGAAGTCAGGCCTCTGACATCTCTTGCTCCCTTGCACTCACGGGACAAGCTTTCAGCAGAGCCAAGAAATCTATAGTTTCCATCAGACCTGGGGCTCAGAGGCTAAGGAGCTTTGCAGGGTTGCCCACACTCAACGTGGCTAAACAGTCACCTCCAGCTAGGGTAAAGGATTCTCAGCCGGGCGCGGTGGCTCATGCCTGTAATCCCAGCACTTTGGGAGGCCGAGGCGGGTGGATCACAAGGTCAAGAGATCGAGACCATCCTGGTCAACATGGGGAAACCCCGTCTCTACTGAAAAAAAAAAAAAAAATACAAAAAGTCAGCTGGGCATGGTGGCACGTGCCTATAATCCCAGCTACTCAGGAGGCTGAGGCAGAAGAATTGCCTGAAGCCAGGAGGCGGAGGCTGCGGTGAGCCAAGATCACGCCATTGCACTCCAGCCTGTGTAACAAGAGCGAAACTCCGTCT